ATATTAACGAATCACTAAAACTGATATCGATTCGACGGTTATGTGAGCATGGCCTTTCTGTCCATCCTGTTTGCTATATGGGTCGTATCCCGGAAACTCTAATTTAATATTTGATGAAAAATCCGGACCATTTAGTGGTACCACTTGTTATGGTTATAAAAAAAAAATCCTGTGACGGATTCATCAATATCAGAATATCAGGAACAGACTTATTAACGACATACATATCAATATAGTATTTATAGATTTGTTTATTTTTCATTTGAGTTATCGAAATGAACAATAACGTATAATGTTGTACACTTGTAAACTCGTTATTGGCAGTTCATACCAAAAGCCTTTTTGCTTATAGGTACATACATCTATACATATAACATTATCTACATTAGACAGGAGAGTGACATCACAATAGTTAAATATTATTTCTGACCGAGTACTTACCTAACTGTAAAAGTGCATACATAGATTTGCATTCGTTACAACACGTTGTGTTTATGAAAACCATGTCGTTCGATGATTCTGTAATGTTTTTATAAGAAGGACTCAAAGAGGAGAGAAACAAATTATAAATAATTGATATGCTATTTATTTTTATCAACATAACTAGCAATGCCCCATATACCAACAGAAAACCCGAAATGTAACAATTTTTAAACAGCTGTTGCAAAAATTCTGTCAGCCCCTTTCAAATCGAAAATCGAATAGGATCGAAACATTCTGAACATTTCTCCGACTGTGGGCATGCTACGTCGAACAACTCCGTATTGTTTCATGGAGGAGACTATCGACCAATAGAAATTAAATCGGGTCCCATTTTGTAAGACACCAAAATGGAACTGATAGTGAGGCTATATGTATTATACTTTCCAAAAAGCATTGCTCAATAGATGTAAGAGCAGTATGCATTGTCGGCGGCGCCATTAAAGACTCCAAGAACGGAGAGTAGTCTTGTCGGATACGACGAAGCAATCATCGGGAGTGTACTGTTGGCTCTGGATTGGATATGAATCCTGCCTTAAGTGTCCCGTCCTGGTGATAGATGGAACTCTCTAACTCTGACACCTCGGAGTCGCGATCCAGTTCCAAACCGGAAATTGGTCCTCTCTGCGTTGTTCCTGCCTGTGGCGGTCATTCAGGCAAAATTTTACTTTGAAATCTCAGACCCGAGTGCCAACCTGATGTGTTGCATCATCCTAAACAGACGTGGGCATGCTAATTTGACATACACTGGATGCGCTGTTTGAGTTTACGTGTCTGCAGATGATTTGGCCACTCAATAACCATTTTGGTGTTCCATCACGGCATCGACAAATGGCGTTCCACCTGGTCACAATAGTCTGGCATCGAGCTAGTCAGAGGAACGAATAGTTAAAAAGGGAGAAAGGGAAATGAATGTATGTCTGAATTCGAAGGGTTGTAATGGGGGCTGCAGATCAGATGTGATATATTCGATTCAACCGAGAAGACGGCACTGATGATAACCACAAATTCTGCAGGTTCCTCAAATAAGTAACCTGATACGAGCATATTTTGGGAGTTTTCCAGCCTTTCACTAATCCTATAAATACATATGTACATGTATGTATTATCTGTACTACCTAAAACTCTGCTACGCATAGGATCCTAGCTCCAGGCATATGAACTCATTCACCCCTGAAATTTCATAATGAACTTTTCCAACCTCTGAATTGGAAGAGTTTAGATATGTCTTCAATGGTTAATGATTTAACTAGCATTTCAACAATTACATCTGTCCCGCCCGTTCCAAGCTTTTTACTTCAGACGATGTTATTTTCATTTTCCTATTGCTTCTTTACATTTGTCTTTATAACCTCCCTCCCCAAGCCACTTTAGATCCCCTTTACATTTTTTTTTTTTAACCCCCCCCCCCCCAAAGCCCCTTTAGATCCCCTTTACATTTGTCTATCTAACCTCCCTCCCCAAGCCACTTTAGATCCCCTTTACATTTGTCTTTCTAACCTCCCTCCCCAAGCCACTTTATATCCCTTTTACAATGAAACGTTTACCCACACTACAAATAATTGCCGGACGCTAATACTCAGTAATCTGGTTACATTAGACAGGTAATTGCTATATCAACAATCTGGACAAATTTATTCTGAATATTTCATTGGCAACTTGAGTGCCGTGACTTACACGGATCCATAATATACAGTAAAAAATCGTTATATTAAAGGGTCCAAACATTGGCATAGCGACGAACTGCTCGCTGGTAAATGTAGCATTCGTGTTCCAGAACTAACCTTGATCAATAATTGTTTTCATTCTCATACATGTACGTACAGTCAGTAGTAAGTTAACTATTTGTACTTAATTGGTCGTTTCCGCCACGCTTGAAATGCAGACATAATGACAGCTGTGACGACCTAATACCGACTCCGTTTGCCATATATTTCACGTATCCATTCAAATATATAAAATTGATTTGTTTGAAAACAAACATCAAATTCCAGACATTGTTTTGCTGTGATGACGATTATTTTGAATACCAACTGGTGCAGGATTTATTTTAGATGTTTACATGGACGAAAATGTATATATAGTTTATAAAGCATTATTATTTGATAGTACATACTAGTAAGCGCTTTACTTAAACGAAACCGGGCGGTTCAGTGTAACAGTGTATTTCTTTCTGATGTACAGTTTTCGTAAAGATCTTGTCCCTCGAGTTGTGGTCAAATGTAGACTGGAAAGCGTCTTATTAAACAGCGGCCCCCGGATATTTCTCTTAATACTGCTGTCTCCTTGAGTTAGACCCATCATTTCGAAAATCCTTAAGCCGTCACTGTCATTTACCAAAATACTCTACATTTAGATTAAATATATCCCGCAGTTACTAATGCACGAATATAGCATTTAACAAATGTAACCGGAAACTTGACAAAGTGATCACGTGGTTATCATGTGCGCGAGCCTTGATCGTGTCCTAATAGCAAGGTCATTGTCATGATGGGTTCGGAAACGGATCATGGAAGGCCTGTTACAAGATTAAGTGGAATAGCAATACTGACCTTATCGACAATGGTGTTCCTCGTAAAGTCAGCTGATCTACAATTAATTCGACAGTACGGACGCTAATTAATTATTTATGGTAATACTAACCTGACACGACAAAGGATATTGACATATCCATGGAAATCGACATCTGGTATATCTGGTGTCAACTGTAATGCATGTTTCATGTTGGTAGCCACAGCTGGTGTAACACCACTGTAACTCACTTTTATAATTAAACTTTACATTATTACGAATTATGTCGAAAAATTCATTGAAAATATCAAATTCAAAAATGTATTGATGTTAAATTGTCATCATAATGGTTTCCAATATGCATTTAACACGGTAGCATTTTGAATTACGACACACGTGTTCTCAACAAATGCAGGAAAAATGCAACGTTTTTCCAAATGTGCCGCTCAAAATGTAAAAATAATGTTTAACCATTGTTTTTCAACACTTTAAAAGGAAATGTTTCCAATGTATATGTATATTTAAAGCACACTTATATTGATGTTGTAATTAAGTTTATGCGAGGGAAGTGCTTTTCAATAAAGGAAAAAGTTGTACAATTCGTATGATAAAGATATGTATGTTTATGGAGAGGTATAAATCTAAAAGCATTTTATTTTACTGAGCGACCGACAACTGGCTATATGATTCATTGTCAGTAACCTGTGTAATGTGTGCTGTTTAAACAGCAACCGATTCATTCCATCCACATGCTACTTTGTTATGACATCGGTTCCTGCAAGTGACTGTTTATGTATTCGGGACAGTTGGTAACGCTCAATACTGACCTGAGTGGCTCTGTCGGAACTATGCTGATGTACGTGCCTTGCTATGTTATTTGTCAATATATAAATATGACATTCATTAGCAGGTGATAGTGAATATTGTCAACCCGAGAAAACCATTGTCACCCGAGGCGAAGGATGACAATGGTTTTCTCGGGTTGACAATATTCACTGTCACCTGCTAATGAATGTCATATCTATTTTGTTACACCAAAAGTCAATGTAGCTCAGAAACGGCAGCAAACCTCGATAATGACATCTTGTTTGTTGATAGTCTGCTGTTTACAATCGCTATCGCACCGGCGCTTGATGAAATTGGCTGTTGCCGTCAAACGTTCTTGTGACCATCACGTTGGGGAAACGAAGCGGTGCACGCACATTTTTTGCGCATGTGATATTTTTCACTGTCTCATGGCAATATCACCCGCGCCCCTTAAAACCAATGTATTTTCGGAGGGTGACAGAGATTTTTGTTTAATTTTCTCCCAACCAATCAAATAGCTAGAAATTCACTTGAGGTGTAACAAAGTGAATTGATCAATGGGAGAGCAGCATTTAAAGAAATAATCCTCGCGATTTTAATGTGTCGTCTTAATCACATGTCATTCACTAGACTATAGATGATAGGTGATATCTCTTCGGTAAGTGACTTTGTCGACTGCAAACGTACTAAATAGATTATTCCGTTGCATAATTTATTGTAGCCTGTTTTGGACTTCTAAAGACCACAAGTGAAATTTTCAAGATTGTACAGCTCTTTGTTTGTATTGAGATTGCAAGGCATTTATGATAATGACGCACCGAATATGGTAATTTATTATATATATATATATATTGCATGTAACTATCTTCATTATTATCTGTTTTAACCACTGACGTTAAAAGCGACAAGTAGAAAACTCCATAGAGATTAACGACTGGCAGCGCATCATCTCTAACACCCTACACAACTAATAAGTACAATTGCAATATAATGTGCTTGTATTCAGAGGAAACCAAATTCAAATACGCAATAGGGCGTAGCTCTGACGTCACTGGCTACAATACATAATACCATAAAGGTCGTCCACTGTATATAACTTTATAAATACTATGTATAGGTACCATGACTTCACAAGTATACTAATTAGTATTGTTGGCGACGAAGCTGTTTATGTCGGATATTTCTAGGGTTCACAGTTTCCCCACCAGCTCACTAGTACACGCTGTACTTGGTTCTATGCCCAGAGTACCAGTAATTCGGCCTCCGTTATAGACGTTGGCGGTAGACCGTGAGGTCTGGAGGGACAATTTCCATTGACAGGTATCCCTCGTCTAGTGACAAGCTCGCGCGGTGAACTTGTTTGTCCATGAAGTCGTCTGGACAGCCACTGGACTGGTCAGACTTTTGCTACAGTAGGCGCGATATGTGATTGTGCTCATCGCCGCTAGAGCAATGGCGGGCTCATTTTGCACAACAGGTTCTGCCTGTGTGTTAATTATGTAGTATTCATTGATTTATTTTGTAAATATTTGAGTACTCTCAGAACGAAAACTAGGACTGTACTTAGAAGGATCTGTTCCGGTTATTGTTTATAGCTGACGCGGTTCTATAAAACACTAGATATTCATTATTCCAAATCGATAATTTCATGGAGATTTTGGAAATGCCAGACGCCGGAAACGTCTCAGTGAGTGAATCACGAAGTCAAGCGGAAGTGTTATATGGTTGTGGATGTGATGCTCTGACAAAGTGTTCTGTGACCATCGTCTGTGTTTTATTTTGACGAACTGTTCTATTAGGGCCTGATTTATGTTCTGACAAGGTGTTCACTGTTGGTCCGTGTGTATTTACGTTCTGACAAAGTGTTCACTGTTGCTCCGTGTTACGTTCTGACAAAGTGTTCACTGTTGCTCCGTGTTATGTTCTGACAAAGTGTTCACTGTTGGTCCGTGTTATGTTCTGACAAAGTGTTCACTGTTGCTCCGTGTTACGTTCTGACAAGGTGTTCACTGTTGCACCGTATTATGTTCTGACAAAGTGTTCACTGTTGCACCGTGTTACGTTCTGACAAAGTGTTCACTGTTGCTCCGTGTTATGTTCTGACAAAGTGTTCACTGTTGGTCCGTGTTATGTTCTGACAAAGCGTTCACTGTTGCTCCGTGTTATGATCTGACTAAATGTTCTCTGACGTGTTATACCGAGGATATTCTAAGATACTTCTATATAAGTGTGACGTGTAGTTTTGGATACATCGTTTATAGGTATTAGCGAGGCTTGATGTATAGCCATGGAAGATACGGAGAAAAACGGGACTGTGGTCGTGGATATCCCTCAGGACCTACCCCTAGACATGCTTCCCCCGATCGTAGGTCGCATGGAGCTCGACCTTCCTGATGATAGGAGGAGTAACACGAGTCGGCGTTCCAGTCTGCCCCCTCCACCAGACTCTCATCTACCTCTGGAGGAGGGCAACACCAACGTGCCCCCATCAACACGCTTCCAGTACGTATACACTTTTTATGGTTTGATGTGAATTAATTTGGTATAAATGACATAGTCATGGTATAGACAATGTGAATTGGTCGTTCAATTTATAGAATTTGTATCTTATGATCGTACTGACTCTGTGACGTAATTTGTAAAAGCTGTCGTTATAATACTGGTGCTGTTTGTTCAGGCATAGTTAGATGAATATAAACAGTTATATCGACCTGTGCATGTTCGGGGAAAGATTAGACCTGCTGTTTCACCACTGTATGTCGTTTGAGGCGACTAACGTGGGGCCAGACTCGGATCCTTACCTGCATAGGATTTTAGTTTCCTTTTGTTTTCTCTTACTCACATACACTTATGTCATCGTTATAACAACTTCGTTGTTCTTTGTTGTAAAGGTGCTTCATGACTATAGTGAGGTATACAATTATCTTATGATATATATACGTAATTCTATAGTGATCGTATGGGTAGTAAGGTATGTAAGTGTGGTATAGTTTAGATACAGTTGACACAGATCGTATGGGTGGTAAGGTATGTAATTGTGGAATAGTTTAGATACAGTTGACAGAGATCGTATGTGTAGTAAGGTATGTGATTGTGGTATAGTTTAGATACAGTTGATAGAGATCGTATGGGTGGTAAGGTAGGGAATTGTGGAATAGTTTAGATACAGTTGACACAGATCGTGTGGGTGGTAAGGTATGTAATTGTGGAATAGTTTAGATACAGTTGACATAGATCGTATGGGTAGTAAGGTATGTGATTGTGGTCTAGTTTAGATACAGTTGACAGAGGTCGTATGGGTAGTAAGGTATGTGATTGTGGTATAGTTTAGATACAGTTGATAGAGATCGTATGGGTGGTAAGGTAGGTAATTGTGGAATAGTTTAGATACAGTTGACCCAGATCGTATGGGTAGTAAGGTATGTGATTGTGGTATAGTTTAGATACAGTTGACAGAGATCGTATGGGTAGTAAGGTATGTAAGTGTGGTATAGTTTAGATACAGTTGAGAGATCGTATGGGTAGTAAGGTATGTAATTGTGGTATAGTTTAGATACAGTTGACAGAGATCGTATGTGTAGTATGGTATGTGATTGTGGTATTGTTTAGATACAGTTGACAGAGATCGTATGGGTAGTGAGGTATGTAATTGTGGTATAGTTTAGATACAGTTGACACAGATCGTATGCGTAGTAAGGTATGTAATTGTGGAATAGTTTAGATACAGTTGACACAGATCGTATGGGAAGTAAGGTATGTAATTGTGGTATAGTTTAGATACAGTTGGCACAGATCGTATGGGTAGTAAGGTATGTAAGTGTGGTATAGTTTAGATACAGTTGAGAGATCGTATGGGTAGTGAGGTATGTAATTGTGGTATAGTTTAGATACAGTTGGCACAGATCGTATGGGTAGTAAGGTATGTAAGTGTGGTATAGTTTAGATACAGTTGAGAGATCGTATGGGTAGTGAGGTATGTAATTGTGGTATAGTTTAGATACAGTTGACACAGATCGGATGGGGAGTAAGGGATGTAATTGTGGGATAGTTTAGATACAGTTGACACAGATCGTATGGGTAGTAAGGTATGTGATTGTGGTATAGTTTAGATACAGTTGACAGAGATGGTATGGATAGTAAGGTATGTGATTGTGGTATAGTTTAGATACAGTTGACAGAGATCGTATGGGTGGTAAGGTATGTGATTGTGGTATAGTTTAGATACAGTTGACGGATCTGCTACCTCACTAATATACCATGTCAAAGTCACCCATCATAGCAAGGTGTTAACGATGACGAACGTTAAACAGGGAACAACAGCTACCATTTTCAGGACTTTAGTATGTCCCGAAAACAAAACCCGTTGTTAGGAAGTTATAAAGATCCCTAAACCAGGTTTGGTTTAGTATTGTTTGACGTCCTATCAACAGCTATGGTCATTTAAGGACGGCCTCCGCTGTGTGCAAGATACATGCGTGTAGTGTATGCGTGTGTGTTTTGGGAGGCTGCGATATATGTTCGTGTATGTAACCTTGTGATAGCGCGGAACTGATGCCGACTTTATAGTGCTACTTCACTGAAACATACTGCCGAAGACACCCAGCAGGACATCCCACCCGGTCACATTATACTGACAACGGGCGAACCAGTCGTCCCACTCCTAAATTGCTGAACGTTAAGCAGGAGTAGAATTGCCTCGGCCAGGGGACAGAACCCAAAGCCTTCCTCACAGGGGCGAACGCTCAACTAAAGGCCAAAAGTGAGGCATTGTCAAGGAAAACATTAGGAAGAAGAAAGTTGTTAGGAAAGAAGAGAAAAGATGAGATCATGCAATGGGGGCAGCAGGTACAATTATTACGCCCTACCTGCAGGGACATCCCTAAACTGTCGTACGGTTTAGGTATAACGGTTGTGTGATAAGGTATTCAATGGTCGTTTTCTCATGTATTCTAGTCATATGACGTGATCAATAATTTCCGTATAAGTGGTATATAGTGGTTATGTATACATTTGTAATTAGGCTAGATAAATGATGATATAACTCTGTGCTGGACATTGATCAGACACGTTGTATTACAATGCATTAGACATACTAGTGTTGTTGTAATACGCTAATGATGTCTAACTCTTTGGTGAGCTCAAATCGTTACCTATCACAAACTGCCGCATCTCACTGCCCCCGTCGGTATTTACGGTTCTGGAATCATTATTTAAAGTAAACAACACCCATCTGAATTCAGTATCTTGTTATACTATTATCTACGCCTGTATAAACAGAAATGGTCAGCAGAGAGATCGCCATTGATTGATACAAGTGGCCTTTATAAGTCTGTAATGGTGTTGATCCGAGCTAGTTGACCATTATACCCGTACATTCCAATATATGTTCACACATACTGACAATAATATTATTTTTCATAATTATACACGTGTACTATTTTAAGCATCGTACGTATTCTTACAAAACCCGAACATATCGCAGCCTCCCAAAATACACACACATACACTACACGCATGCATCTTGCACACAGGGGAGGCCGTCCTTAAATGACCTTAGCTGTTAATAGGACGTTAAACAAAATCAAACAAACATACAAACAAATCTTACAAACCCCGCAGGAGATGTCCTTTTTTTGTTTAACATTAACAGAGACTAAATGTACGATGTAAAGAACTTTATACAAAATGTAATATAAGGGTTATTATTTCCTCGAAATGTATTCAATAACTGTTAATTGGGTTATTGCGTCATCACAATTTATGAACAAGGATGTTTATTGACCAGTTTGAAGTGATAACTCCAAACCCAGAATCAGAAATCCTAATTGTGAGCCGGAAAGTGAGGAAATGATATTGAAAGGTTACAACGTAGTCTTCATCCATGATTCATTCCAAATTGGGATTTTTTATTGACCGTAAGAAAGGTGTCGACTGGATTTAATATCCAACATTGTGACACACTATTTTGGTGCACAATCGTGTTGGTGATTGGCTCGTGTCAAAATCAATTCAATAACTCTAAAACTGATATCCTTTCACATTATGACGTGAATCACGATGCCACTCGCATAACGTTAAGTGATATATAGATTATATTTCCAAATGTGACTTTTGTATTGAAAGTAGCACAAAGGTCTAACATATCAGAAATATGGGGTCTATGCAAGTCTATGGGGTGAAAGGTCAACAATGTTTGATCAATCTTTGTATGGTTTTCAGACGCTGCCGATGGAAGGTCAGAGCGCTTGTCGAACACCTTCTTTTCCGCCTTTTCACCGTCATCCTCATCCTCGTGGACATCTCCCTAGTCATCGTCGATTTCTGTGCCACCCTAGACGAATCGACGTCACAAAAAATTACCATCACATCACGAGCCATAATCATATACTTCGTTGTGGAGATCATACTTCGAATATTCGCAAAAGGGTGAGCTCCCAGCAGTATGTAAATGGTAAACTATATGTATCAGTGTGGGCTGCCTTAGGTTAAGTGAATAATATTACCACGTATACTTTTAGTTTATATCACGATGATAACCAAAACTAGAGGCAGTTTCTCAGTATTTATCATTTTTGTAAAAAATAATGTTTAGTTAATTAATAAAATACGATTCCGTCCCTCGCCATTTGAAGATTATTGCTCTGCTCAATCACGTTTCATGATAAAAGACTGATTCTAACTATATGTAGGATTGTTATTCCAATTTCATGTGAAACTGATTAGACGATCTCGTAAAATACAAAACAGTTAGCACGTGCTCCTTTTTCATTATCCGAGTTGATGTTTATCACTCTATTTAATTAGCTATTCAGCTTCTTTGTGTTGTTATGATCAGATCATTAATCTAGTAACTTTCCAATATTTTGTAGCATCGATTTTTTCAAGAATTGTTTTGATGTGACAGACATGGTTATAGTACTAGCTACTTTCATCATAGACATGGCGCTGAGTAACTATGGCAGGTGAGTAACTATGGCGCTTAGTAACTATGGCAGGTGAGTAACTATGGCAGGTGAGTAACTATGGCGCTGAGTAACTATGGCAGGTGAGTTAACTATGGCAGGTTGAGTAACTATGACAGGTGAGTAACTATGGCAGGTGAGTAACTATGACAGGTGAGTAGCTATGGCGCTGAGTAACTATGGCAGGTGAGTAACTATGACAGGTGAGTAACTATGGCAGGTGAGTAGCTATGGAGGTGAGTAGCTATGGCGCTGAGTAAGTATGGCAGGTGAGTAACTATGGCAGGTGAGTAACTATGGCAGGTGAGTAATTATGACAGGTGAGTGACTATGGCAGGTGAGTAACTATGGCAGGTGAGTGACGCTGTGGCTATTCACGAGAAATGAATGCAATACATTAACATTGTTCCCAGATTTGCGATGTTAAGAGAGACGGTCCCTATAGGGTAAGGGTCCCTATCATATCATCTCAGTATTCTCTCCATTATGCTTTGTTTGTTTAGACTTTTTGTTGTGTTGAATTCAGATTTTACAAATACAGCACAAGAAATGATAATTTGGTATAAAACGATTAGATGAAGCACTAAACTTGATGAAGTATTTTACTTTGATGAAGTGGCATACAGAAACTAGATTTGATAGATATTATTTGATAATTTATTGAAAGTTGATGAAATAATCAGGTAATGACAGTGAATTTTGGAAGTAATCATATGGTCACTGGGTGTAGTTTAGAATCAAATCTTCCATTGCAGATGGGGGGTCGTCGGTCGTACCTTACGTATCATCCGTATCGGCCGAAGCGTAGTCATCATGGTCGGGCAGTACCGTCACGTGATCACAGCCACAAGGAAGACAGTATCACAAAACAAACGACGGTATCTCAAGGACGGATTTGACCTTGACCTTTGTTACATCACAGGTTAGCATTATTCATATTACAAATATACTTGTATGACTTTTTGAACTATTCTAACACTTACATCAGTTGTAAAGATCCTAGTTTACGATCGTATCTATTAATATCATACCGGCACAATAAGAATGTAACTTGTAACCAAACTGGAAACATATTCTTTTACTATAAATAATTGTCATGGTAACACACTTACAAACCATCTGTTCCTCTTCAGAGCGGGTGATCGCAATGTCGTTTCCATCGTCAGGGGTACGGAAGATGTACCGAAACCCTATCAACGTAAGTACCATGGCACGTTCTAGGCACGTGCAGTTTGTACAGTACAATGTTAGAAGTCGCGGCCTCTCGGTACACTGGTTTACTCTCTGTTCATAATTTGTCGTTTAGTTGTGTACACACTAGTATTATACATGGTGTTATCATTGCTGTAAGACATGGTGATGTGTCTTTGTGTGTGTCGGCTGGCCTGTAACACTATTGAGATGACTGTCGATACATAGATTACTTATGTTAAATATATAACAAAAGTGCACAGCAGTCGACTCTCATCTCACAGCAGTCGACTCCCATCTCCCCGTTTGTCTGTTAGTGAAAGATACACACCGAGGTCTTGTTACCGTTTATAAATGTTTGAAATATGAACAATCATCTCACGCATTTCTTGCCAGATGGCGAAGGGTTAAGAGATGGGGTTAAAGGTTAAGAGATGGGATTAAAGGTTAAACAGAGGTTTTGGATCAAGCCAGTCTCGGTTACAAAGCATTGCAATGCATAATGGCGCATTTTTCCAAATATTTCCTTCTAAAATTCTTTGCTTTTACTTTTTTGTTAATTGTCAATGTAAATCAGATAGCAGTGATACTATAACAACGCTTAATAGTTGTCTGGATGAAGTTTAAGGTAGTCTTGCATTGAAATAAATTTCTATATATTTATCGACATTTTTGTGTCCCCTACGACGGATGTCGGAAAGACACATAGGCGTTGCTTTTCCGACGGCGGCGGCGGCGGCGTCAACAATGTTAAGGTTTTGCGTTTAGCTCTGTTTCTGACAAAGCTACACCAACAAAACCTCGATCATAGATGAAGCATGGGTAGTGGAGCCTACTGTAATACAAACATTTTATTGATTTGTAAAAAACTCAAATTTCTGGACTTCGAAAAAAACTCAACGTTAAGGTTTTGCGTTTAGCTCTTACGTATTAGGCTGTTTTTGACAAAGTATAAATGCTAGAGCAACCAAACTTGGGTCATAGGTGTATCATGGGATGTTTCGCTAAATGCATTACACTCTTTACTAGCATTTCAACCATTTCTGTATTTTTTGGCTAAAAACCTCAAATTTCTGGACTTAGAAAAAACCTCAACGTTAAGGTTTTGCGTTTAGCTCTTGCATATTAGGCTCTTTCTGACAAAGTATAAGAGCTACACCAACCAAACCTCGATCATACATGTATCATGGGTAGTAGAGCCTACTACTCTAAAAACATTTCATGGATTTCTGCACTTTTTCGGATAAAAACTTCTTCACTTAAAAAAAAATCAATGTTATGATTTTGCGTTTAGGTCCGTTTCCTTATGTACTATGTCAAATGCTTATTATATTGACAAAGCGGGACAGGCGATACATATAATTACGCGTAATTCTTGTTTAATGTTTGTGAGTATACTACTAAACACATATGACTAGTGCTTTAAAATCTACGTTTTCTTTGCTTTGACTTGTTTTATGCAAAATTCCTACCACCCATTGTTTCTTTGTATAAAATATATGTTCCCATAAGAGTTCTGAGGCATATGTTTTCACAGGATCTCTTTATCGCAAATACATCTACTCTTAAAAACAACTAAAATATCACGCGAACAACACAAATCTCAAACTGTTTGCATATATGAATACCCTTGTATTTATAATAATTCAGTAAGCGTCTGAATTCCATTTATGTTGTTCTCTGTGATATGGGAATACCCACGAGTATACATATTGGACCGCCATTTACGTCAGAAACGAGCCCCATACTGTTTGTCGAAATTTCATTATAAATATATGAAATGATCATCTCACATTCTGTTTATATTGTTTGGTCCACATCTGCATAATCAATACCTTCCGTATTTGTTATTTGTTGCAACATTGGCATCAATTATTGAAAAGAAAAATGATCATGAAATAAAAGCAGCTTTATGTTTGTTGATCTGAAATGTAGGAGACAATGCTATGACGCTGTATGTTTATTGATCTGACTTGTAGTAGACAATGCCATGACACTGTATGTTTATCGATCTGACTTGTAGTAGACAATGCCATGACACTGGATGTTTATTACATTCCGTA